TTTTTTTTTTTTTTTTTTGAGACAGGGGCTCTGTACGTAGTCTTGGCTGAAACTCATTGTGTAGACCAGTCTAACCTTAAACTCACAGAGATCTGTCTGCTTCTGCCTCTGCCTCCCAAATGCTGGGATCAGAGGCATACACTACTACCGCTGGCCTCACATCCCCTTCCTTCAAATGAGTCAGCTGGACCAAACGACCCATCATACCTTTTCTTCCCTTCTAGAACTAAAAATGTGTGGCGTTGACAATTGAATCCAGAATTCTAGGCCTTCTGCTAAACACATCCCTCCGACCCCAGACTGAGGACACAGGATTTAAAGGAAAGGGAAACAATGACCCACCTGGCAGACTGGAGAACAAAGAAGGGAAGGAGCCAAGCTTCTCTTGGGACTCTGTCCCCAAAGGCGGCCAGTGCTCGACTGTCCTATAAGCCAATCCATTTATATCTTCTCCTTTTTCTTTTTAAGACAGGGTTCGCTATGTATCCCTAACCAGCCTAGAACTCACCAAGACCCTCCTGTCTCTGCCTCTGGCGTGCTGAAATTAAAGAAGTGAGCCACCACACCCAGCTTGGTTTTGTTTCTTGCTATAGGGAGTATTTGTTTATTTGAGACAGAGTTTCTCTGTGTGTAGCCCTGGCTGTTCTGGAACTTGTTTTGGAGAGCAGGCTGGCCCCAAACTCAGAGATCTGCCTGCCTCTGCCTCCCGAGTGCTGGGACTAAAGGCGTGTGCCGCCACCGCACCTTGCTGGGGGGTGAGGGGGGCAAAGGGGGTATTACGTGTCTGGGGCTAGTCAGGAACTCACTGTGTAGTCAAAATGGACCTTGACTTTTTGATCCTTTCCCCTCTATGTCCCAAGCACTGGGGCAGGTGTCAGCGAGCTTGGCTCGCTCTCACACCTGTGTCTTTGCTCACAGAAGTTGGTTCTTCCTTCTGCTCCACGGGAAGGAGCCGCCCTTGCTTCTCTCACTGCCTTCACTCCCCGGCACCCAAGAGCCCCCCTCGTCCCTTCCCCGCGCCTCACTCTTCTGTTCAGCTTTGTGGTGACGGTGACAGAAACCTGAGCTCAGTCTGCTGCAGGGTCTCTCTTTAGGACTCCGGCCTCCACCAGCCTCCTCTTCTTCGACAGGACTTGGCGTCGCTTTGCCCTTGGTTTCCCGGCTCCACCTTCCAGATCTCCACTCTGCCCCCAAGCCTGGACTCCAGCAGCTGAGAAAGCACCATCACTCCCCGCTGACATGCCCACTTGCCTCCTCTTTATATCTTTTCTCTCACCCCACCGACCACAAAAGGACTAGTACAAAAGGCTCAGGATCAGAAGTGGACTTACCCAGGATGAGGGGTACCGCAAGGAAGGCTACGAAGAGGACATCCATCCTGGGTCGTGCACCGGCGCTGTGAGAGAGAAAAGAGGAAACTCTGCCGTTTCCCACCAGGCTAGCCCAGCCTCCCCCGCTGCTGGGAAGGAGCAGTGATTCCTCTCCCAAGGGTCAGAATTCTCCGCCTACTTGCTCGGCAGATCTGTTACATAGCAGCTGGACTGAGGGGCAAGCCTGTTGATGGAAGCAAACTTGTTATTCCTGGGGAGCCCCCCTAGATTAGGTCCACTCGGGACGCCCGCTGCCTGCGGGGACCAGCGTTTTGACTCTCTCCTCCTTCCCACGCAGACTTGTCTTTACTCACAATATCCTTCATCACCGTGGGAATGATGAGAGGAAAGGGTGAGGACCTGTTCTAGACAATAAATAAATGGTGCCTCTTCTCTGCCTGTCTCGGCTATGGAGGATGAGAGTGATGTTTACAAACCATTGTTTGACTCCCAAATTTCCTTCTGCATTGCCGCTGATAAAAATCTGTCAGGTCCAAAGGAAACTCCAGTTTCCCAACTTCCAGAAGGCAGTTCATATATCCAGAAATGAGCTCATCCTGGACTATAGGAGGATTTCTGGAAGGTAGATAAAAGCCAGCATTCCACAGGAACTTGTGAAGCGGGTTCCCATCTGACCAATGGAGTCATTGCCCTTCCCTCCGGCAGAAGGGACATATGGCTACCAGAGGAGACCATCAGTGTATTAAATCCTATGCTGGCCTCCAGGCTCCCTCAGTATCACAAATACCTGTTATACATTTCAAAGTCCACACTGGTCTGGCAGTGATGGCGCACGCCTTTAATCCCAGCACTCGGGAGGCAGAGGCAGGTGGATCTCTGTGAGTTCGAGGCCAGCCTGGCCTACAGAGCAAGATCCAGGAAAGGCTCCAAAGCTACACAGAGAAACCCTGTCTCGAAAACAAAAACAAAAGTCCACACTAACATGCTAGCCTTTCTCACCGCCTTCTCTACGCTGTGCTCCCTCTAGCTCATGGGCTCCCCACCCCCACCCCCTACAGCTCCCCTCCTCCTGTCACTGTTCTCACTGTGCTCACTCTATTCTCTCCCTCCCACTATTCTCCCCTCCTCCTCCTTTTTTTTTTTTTTTCCGAGACAGGGTTTCTCCGTATAGCTTTGCGTCTCTCCTGGATCTCGCTCTGTAGCCCAGGCTGGCCTCGAACTCACAGAGATCCACCTGGCTCTGCCTCCCGAGCGCTGGGATTAAAGGTGTGCACCACCACCCCCGTCACTCTCCTCTCCTCTTGCAGATAGCCCTGGCCATGTCTGGACGGCTGGCCACGTTCCACCTACTTCTCTTCTCTGAATTCTTCCTGATGCCTCTGGCGATTCTCTCCTAATAAAACCTTACCCATGCCAGGAAACGGCCATGTTGGCAGTTTCTTTACTGTACCCCTTGCCCTCAACAGCCAAAGCCAGTTATGTCTCTCCACTTTGTGTTGCCCCCCCCCCCCCAGCTTTTTGGATACAGGATGGAAGAAGAGAGGAAGCAAACACCACCCTTCCGCCTGCTAGGCGCCATACCTGTCTCCCACCTTCAGACACAGGCACCTTCCCTATCGTTCTGTCTGCTCTGGTATTTCCTATTTTCATTCGGTTCAATTCAGAAAGCAGCAGCATATTTATTAGGCATAATGAACTAAGTTTAGTCTGTTAGGCAATCGAGACCTCACAAGACAGTCAAAAAGCAAAAAATACCAGGTGTGGTGTTGCGGCCCTTTGATCCCAGTATTTGGGAGGCAGAGGCAGGCGGATCTCTGAGTTTGAGGCCAGCCTGGTCTACAGAGTGAATTCTAGGACAGCCAGGGCTATTTCACAGAGAAACCCTGTCTGGAGAAATCCCACATATGTAATACATATCTGCTCAGCATCTAAGATGGGTCCCTGGAACACATGAGTGTCTGTGGAATCACAGTTTTACAGGCGGCTCTCTCTAGTCAGGAGATGCCCCATTGACAGCTCATGAAGTGAAAGAAGAATTGTCTTGTTCCTATTTCCCCTAACTCAGGCTGCTGAACTCAGAAGCAGGACACTCTGGCCAGGATGCTCCCATCCTCTTAACCCTCCTAACCATGGGGCAAGATGTGCCTGGTGTCTTTTTGCACAAACCTGTTTCTCAGTTTCTTTCCAGAATTTCCTGGGAAAAAAGAAGTGTAAGACATCCTCTGTATGAGTGGCACACATGTAGAAAATTAAAAAAACCACTCCAGGGAAGCCTGGTTTTCTTCAGACAATTTCTGTAGTTTGTAGCTGCTTTGATTACACTCTCAAAAACAGTTTTCCAGATCTGATCCTATCGTAGGATTCCTTTGCTTAGGCATCCTCCTAAGGACCAATCTGTCCTCATACAAATGATGAGATCGTTCTAATGTGAAATCCCCCTCCCCAGCTTAAGGAAAAGACACCACTTAAGTTTATTTTTCAGAATATAAATAGAGGAAGTATGACATCAAAGGAACTAAGCGGCTGGGGTGGGGGTGGGGTGTCATTTCCCTTCTGTCTCCTTGCTCCAGTTGCGTTTTGACTCCTGGACTTTCTAAACCTGTTCCTAACATTTCTCTCCTGGCTCCTCTTGCTTCTCCGATTCTGTCATTATAGAATACTGGTGAAGTCTTCAACCGAGACAGACTGTGCCACATAATCCTATGCGAGACTGCCGAAGAGCTCCAGTTTTTAAGCCCAACTTTGATTCCTTAGGGTGCTTCTCTGGGCCATTTCCTCTAATTCAAGTTAAGAACAATGCCCGTCCCTATCTTTGTACAATCCCTATCCTGGCCTCTTTTTTTAATTTGTCTCTAGATGCAAACAGGATCTTTCCCCCACCAAAGCTCTTCTAGAAATAGAGTTGTCATCACCCTTCTCCACAGAGTAATGAAAAGAAACTGTCGCCAAGGCACTAGAGAACCCAGGAATCCTTGCCCTGACCGGGCCCAGAACCGACCCCACTGTTCCGCACCAAGTCGAGGGTTCGGAGAATTGGGAGACTACAACTCCCAGAAGGCCGTGCTGCCACGACCACGCCTCTGCAGTTCCGCCCCATCAAGTATTCATCGGCCTTCCGGGGGTGGGGATTAGATGGGAGGTGGCCATGGGGCAGCGACCGGGGGTTGTTCCCTCTTCGGCTTCCGTAGAGGAGGTCGGGCGGACCTTCGTCCGGGGTTTCGGCGCCCCCCCTTCCCCTTCCCCGGGGTCCGGGGGTGACATTGCACCGCGCCCCTCGTGGGGTTGCGTCGCCGCCCCGCGCGGACTCCCCCCGCCCCCCGGCGCGCTGCTCCCACTCGCCTCCCTCGGCCGCCGGGGCTCCCTCCCGCCCCCAGCTGCCCAGTCATGGGGGCTGCTGTGTTTTTCGGGTGCACCTTCGTCGCGTTCGGCCCAGCCTTCGCCCTTTTCCTGATCACTGTGGCTGGGGACCCGCTGCGGGTGATCATCCTGGTCGCGGGGTGAGTAGCGAGTGGTGGAGACGGGGCCAAGCGTAGAGAAAATGATGATACAGGAAAGAGCTGGAGGAACCGGGGCGAGCATGGGAGCCTGAGTTGGGGGACAGAAGTAGGAACAGGTTGGCCAGGATCAAATCGTGGTTTAGGCGATTTTCCGCAGTCGGCTTCCGCCTTCCAGGGATTTCACAGATTCCTCCTGTAGTCCTCCCGGCAACGTCAGAGAAGGCCCAAGGCCGAGACCAGTGAGGGGGCTGTGCTGACCTCGGCCAGGCGAGGACCCAGGAATGGATGGATACCTTGCCTGTCGGTCCGTGCCCGCACACCGACTCCCATCGCACTGAAGACTCTAACCAGATTTCCTCCCCTTCCGCTGCTTGCAGATTCCTACAGCGGAGTCTGTTGGTGGAGACACTTATCCTGTTTGGTCCCTGTCTCCCTGACCATCCGGAAGTCTAACTTCCACTTTTCATGCTGCAACCTTGGCTGGTTCCCTCCTTGACTTTCCTGGCTGCCCCTGTCCGTGCCTCTCTCATTGCCTTGTGTCTCCTCAGAGCCTTTTTCTGGCTGGTCTCCCTGCTCTTGGCCTCTGTGGTCTGGTTCATCTTGGTCCATGTGACAGACCGATCAGATGCTCGGCTCCAGTATGGCCTCCTGATTTTTGGTGCTGCTGTTTCTGTCCTTCTACAGGAAGTGTTCCGCTTTGCCTACTACAAGCTCCTTAAGTAAGGAGAAGGTGGGGTCTGGAAGGGAGAGGGGACAGTGGTGTGAATAGTGGGAAGCGGGCCAGCGCTTGGATGGTGGTTGGAGTACGGGGCATTAAAGGAGGGTCTTAGGGGGAAGGGAACGTTCCTGCCCTCCCTTATATTTCCTCTCTTTTATCCCAGGAAGGCAGATGAGGGCTTAGCATCGCTGAGTGAGGACGGACGATCACCCATTTCCATCCGCCAGATGGCCTATGGTGAGCCGAGGGAGAGGGACCAGAGGAGGGGTCGGACACCCCCCTCTCCCCTTTCAGGGTAATCTAAACCTCCGCATGTGCTAAGTGTGTTTCTTCATACTTGACATCCAAGGAGAGGCAGTCTGGAGGGAGTTGTAGGTATGGCAGAATTTCCGCTGGGCATGGGGAAGGAGGTACTGGTAAGGATGCTGTGGTGATCTCGGATGTTGACGAGAATCTCCCTTCCCCCCAGTTTCTGGTCTGTCCTTCGGTATCATCAGTGGTGTCTTCTCTGTTATCAATATTTTGGCCGATGCACTTGGGCCAGGTGTGGTTGGGATCCATGGAGACTCACCCTATTACTTCCTGACTTCAGGTAAGGCTCGCTTCTAACCTGGACTTTCTGCCCCGTCCATCCCTGGCCCTGATTTGACTTACTGACCTTCCCTGGGAGACTCCTCTGGCTCAGCATCTCAGGAGGCTGGGAGAAGGTCAGGGACGCATCTCCTCCCCATCTCCCTCCCTGCAGCCTTTCTGACAGCAGCCATTATCCTGCTCCATACCTTTTGGGGAGTTGTGTTCTTTGATGCCTGTGAGAGGAGACGGTACTGGGCTCTGGGCCTGGTAGTTGGGAGTCACCTGCTGACTTCAGGACTGGTGAGTCGGAGATAGGGAGGGGCCAGAGTCAGGGAGAAACCATTTCATGGTGAGTGGGATGGGGTAGGTGTTCTCACTTCATATCATTAACTTACCTGGGTGGAGGCAGAGAGGTGAGTCTCTGGGTCCTGTCACCTCCACACCAGTTAGGCCACCTGCTCTGGGGAGGAGCCTGACATGCTTAGTCAGACCAATGCAGAAGGCCCGAGGTGAATAGGAGGAGCTGAGCCCTTTGAGGGAATCTGCAATCCAAAGCTCCCTTAGCTACAAGATGTTGGTGCTTTGAAGTCTGGGGGAGATCCGGTCAGAGGCACCAAGTGAGTGTTGGGGTTCGATGGGGGAGAGAAGCTCACTTCTTTTCTCTCCTCCTTCTCAGACATTCCTGAACCCTTGGTATGAGGCCAGCCTGCTGCCAATCTACGTAGTCACTGTGTCCATGGGGCTCTGGGCGTTCGTCACAGCTGGAGGCTCCCTCCGAAGTATCCAACGCAGCCTCTCGTGTAAGGACTGACTACCTGGACTGATCGCCCGACAGATCCCATCTGCCTGTCCACTGCCCATGACTGAACCCAGCCCTAGCCCGGGTCTATTGCCCACGTCCTCCGTCTCCTCGCTGATGTGTCCCGCTACCTTCCGGGTTTGGCGTTGTCCATTTGTGACCTGTAGTCTCTAAGCTCTATCAGGAACAGCCTGGGTGCAGCCCGTCAGGGACTGGTGGGTTTGAATCTGTGTTTCTCCCCACCACCTGGGGAGCCCCTTGTCCAGGTCTCCCCATGTGTCAGTGCTCCGCTCACCCTGCCCATGACTCACCCCGCTTCCCCTCTGCAGGCCGACGGCAGGAGGACAGTCGGGTGATGGTGTATTCTGCCCTGCGCATCCCACCCGAGGACTGAGGGAGCATGGGGGGGACCCCTGGGCCTGGGGTGCCCTCCCGACCTCCTCCTGTATTTCTCCATCTCCAGTTCTGGACAGTGCAGGTTGCCAAGAAAAGGGACCTAGGTTAGCCATGGCCCTGGTGACGAAGTTACCGGAGGCTCAAGGGTAGATGAGTTCAGTTTTCCAGTATCTCCTGCCCAGACTGGACATCTTGGTCTTTTTCTCAGGTCTGAAAGGAACCATTTTTGGTATGATAATGACCCCAGAAATGCCTTTTTTTTTTTTAAGTGTGTGGGGGAGGAGGTATCCTGGGAGCTTCCGAACCTCTGTGGGGCTGTACTTCGCTCCTGAAACTGCTGATCATGGCTCATTTCTATCCCACTTTCCCCTTGGTCCCAGGCCCTGGGGAAAAGGAAGGAAGTGCATGTTTGGGAACTGGTACCACTGGAACTCGTGTTTTAACGTCCGTGACCATCAGCACCCCTCCGCTCCCCAAGGTGAAGTGGAGGGTGCTCTGGGGGTCGGTCCATTCCATGGCAGCGCCCCTGGAGGAGTCAGACTACCATGGCATGCAGGCCAAGAGGGCAGACATTTTTTCTAGTTTTTAATTGGGGTGTGGGAGGGCTGGGGAGGTTTTCTATCACTGTGTCATTTTTCTGCTGAGGGTGGGATATCCCATCCTTTTAATCAAGGTGATTGTGATTTTGACTAATAAAAAGGACTTTATAATTGTGGGGGAACTTGGCTTTCAAGAGAAGGGATAATGGATTGAGATTTCTAGCCCCTGGTGGCTCTGGTCCAGCCTCCTCCCCAGCCTGGCAACCGGTGTTCACCATGGTAGCTTTGGTGTAGTATCAGAAGCATCGGTTGGTGGTTTAACGTGTAGAAACTGAGTTAGTTTTCCCCAGAAGTAGATTCCTCCTTGTCCAGGAATAGGATACAAGGAGTTAATCCCCCAGTTTTCTTCTCTGTGTCTGTCTCTACCACCCAGAGGACAGGGGAACTCGCCCACCCTTGAAAGGCACAAAAGACAGACCAGAATTAAGGTCAGAAACTTGAGTTTTCAAACATTATTGAGCAAAAAAAAATAACTAAAATCCTAGCAGCAGCTCTTTTTCCTAGAGGAAAGAAAAAAATCCACGACGTGTGTCTAGGGGAGGGGCAGTGAAACTGTAAGGTGAGGGACATCAGGGCCTATCCTCAGCTTCTTCATAGCTAAACATGAAAACAGGGATCTCCCAACCTTTGTTGTTGAAAGGCCAACAGCTCCGCTTTTCCTTGAAGAACTGGGTCCTGGCTTCTCTGGTGTATGAGTGGGGGGTGGTATGTAGAAGGGCATGTGTCTGCCTACTACTGGTAGTTCAGTCCCTGCACCCCCTTACAGAGGCTCTCTAACAGGTATAAGGGGAAGGCGTCCATGGCATCTTGAGACAGCTTACGCCTCTGTGGCAGCCCGTGCTGAGGTGAAGACCACACTCTTCCTGTTTCCTAGCCTCTTCTTCCTGGAAGGATAAACAGTGGTTCATGGGAGTGACTAGTGTCCCAAGTGAAGATTAGGACAGGAAATAAGTATCTGATTATGACCCTAACTTTTCTCCTTCCTTCCCCTTCTGAGTATTGGGATGACAAGGGTGTGCCAGCATGCCAGGTTTAATGTGGTGCTAGGGGTCAAACCCAAGGCTTCGTGCATGCTAGGCAAGCACCCCACCAACTGAGCCATAGCTCCAGAGACATTTTATATTGTTTTTAAGACGGGGTGTCTTTCTATGTAGCTCTGGCTGTCTTGGAACTCACTCTGTATACCACGATGGCCTTGAACTCACAGAGATCCTTCTGCTTCTGCCTCCCAAGTGTTGGGATTAAAGGTGTGTACTACCATGCCCAGCTGAGAATGCAGTTTTTTGTTTGTTCTTGTTTTTTTTTTTTTTT